ATTTTAAACTGGCGGGCCCATTCCACGCCACTGATCTGTTCTCTGTGATCTGAGAACATTAAACGATAGTGTCCCTTGGTGTTTGGATCTCACTTCCCTTTTTTTTTTTGGCTAAAAAATAAATAAAAACTCACAGCAGAAATGCCCTCTATCTGAATCGTTTTGGTTAACAATCTAAAAATTTAGATGTGTGATCACAGGCCTGGCAGCGATCCGCCGGCTCCGGCATCCTGCCTTTTGTGTTTTCTTGGTGTATTGTCATTATAGTAATGACGGAACCTGCCTCCGCTGCCGGGGGATTTCAGATCACAGAATCCTCTCGCCTATTGGCCCAGTGTGATCCTTCCATCAACCTGGGAAACTACGGAGGGCAGGTCTTTACGAGTCACATTTTAATAGAGAAATCGGAGGCACGGGAAGGTTAAGTGACCGGTGTGAAGTCACACAACTAATGCCTGGTACAGGCCAGTGTTGCTCCTGCTCCGTAACCCTGCTCCTGGTGCCTTAGGGGTGACCAAGGGTTGCGTGATCCCCGTGTGACACTGGGACTCCGGGTTCCGTATGCTCTTTTTTCTAACGAAGTTTTTCCAACATAGACAATCTCCGCGCATTGCGGGCTACTGTGCAGGTTTATAATAGTCTCAGTAACTAAGAATGTGGTGTTTTGATCGGCTGTGCTATTTCCCCAGCCGTGCTGTTCATTGTAAAGGCTCCAGATGCGCACACTATATATAATTAACAATAGGAGATATATCTTTTCTCAGTGTGTCTTTGTCTCCCTTTATCATTTTTGCCTCGTCTGTTTCCTTTAGCCAGAAAGCCCATGCTGCAATTAATGTCTTTAGAATAACGCAGCGAGCGTATCTCTGTTTAAAGCAATGCTGCGGGGAACTTGAGCTAGAAGCATAGAGCTTGCTGGGGGGGGTGGAGGGGAGACAGTGCAGCCCTGACTTGGGGGACGGGGGGTCATTTGCAAGAAGCCTTCCCCAGCCCGACCACCAGGTTTCCACTTGCCCGTGGACCTTGGCCGCCTGCCGTTTGCAAAGCAGATGTAAACTCGATGCTCTCTAAGGAAATGCCCGGAGGTTGGCCTAGTGTCAGGTCCAGTGCCCCCCCCTTAGATGATGAAAGTGAATCAGAGTCAATGAAATTAGAAAAACAGCAAACCTTGTCTGTGTTGGGAACCGTGGAACAGTTAAATGGCATCTTGGATGCGGGATAGGAGCCAGTCAGGGCCCACAGCTCAGGCGAGAATTCATTCGGCATCCCCGAAATTAATAAGACCGTCAGCCTGGACCCTTGTTAACCAGGTTCTCTGTGGCAGAATTTTAAGTTTTTTGCTTCTAAAACTCAGCGTGAAAGAGGGTTGACATGTGGTGAAAAGAACACTATTTATGAGTCCCGGATATAGGCAAGGGGCAGAGTAGGGGACAGAAGGTGGACAGAAGGTCCCCTCTGAAGGGGACACCGTGGACAGATCCCACGGTGCGGCCACCAAATCCACCGTAAACACCGAGTGCCTCTGATCGTCACTGTCCCCGGCCGAAATTAGCAAGGCCCCCATTGCCGACACCGACCCACGCACCGGCGCTGCGGTCCATAAATTAAGCCAGCAGCCGCGGGAAGATAATTTTCCAATAATAACTTTTCACAGTTTCCTGCAGCCTCAAAGTACAACCAACATGTCAAGCTCTGTTCTGCTGAGAGAGAGGAGAAACCTGTGAAAATGAGCTGGAGGGGGGGAGATAGATTCCTGCAGCCTCTTTTTAACAACAACAAAAAAACCCCGCTCCAGCCCTGCGCCTCCCACGGCTGCACGTGGTCCGGAGCCCCCAAGCAGAGACTTGTTGGGGCTGATCAAGGTCTTTTCCCATCTGGGACATTTATTTCCCCGGAGTGGAGGCTGTTAATCAGCGAGGCCCAAAAACACCAGTGAGCCCCGCAGTTTCCCTGTGTGTTCCTGCCGCCCCGCTGCTGGGATTGTAATGGGATTTTCACAGCTGAAGAAGGCAGAGCCCCTGTCCGACAGTCCCCCCTTCCTTCCTTCCGTCCTTCCTTCCAGAAAAGGCATTTGTGAATGAGCCCACGTGACAGCAACGGGGGCATGGCTTGAGGTCTAGTAATTGTTTTCACACTAATTTTTACTTGTGAATGCCCCTCTCTGCCAGGTGGGTGACTTTTATAGATAGATAGGTAGATAGACAGACAGACAGACAAAGAGATCTCCCCGTGTTTCTGTTTTCCAGGCATCAATAAATTTACTAAGAAGCTTCGCAATCCCTATGCCATCGACAATAATGAGCTCCTAGACTTCCTCTCCAGGGTACCCTCTGATGTTCAAAAGGTACGTAATGAGGGGGTCACCACCAGCGGGGGGCCCCAACGCGGAAGCCTGGCCAGCCCCGGAGCCCGAGGAGCCCGAGGCTGTGCCAGTGTGAGTAATTGAGATTACGAATCGGAAAATCCTTCAAGAGGCCTGGCTTGCAGGGAGGTGGCAGGAAAACCTTTGTGCCAAGCGTGAGATGATTGGGGACAATTATCCTGAAAAAGGGCCACCTGAGAACGATCTGGAGCTCACACTGCGCGGCTGTAATGCAGTGGCATTTGTCCCCCGTTTTGATTGCCTGCCCCCCCCCAAAGAGGGTAAGACAGGCTCAGTGAGTGGGAGAGCGGGGGTCCGAAGCCGGGGGAGGCTGGCTTTTTATGGGAAGCAGGGGATCGGAGGATTATTCGCTTTACTCTTGTCTGCTCCGATTACCTCCTAGGCCTCCCTTCTGTCTCTTCCCTCTGAAGATTTAGGGATGCTTAGGGCGAAGTCTCCACTCCCTCTAACACACAGAGAGGCAAGGGACAGCGTGAAATAATTTGAGATCAATCAGAAGTATTATTCCCGGGTAATGGCTGCTTAGTCCAGCGCCGTCCTGTTTCTGTGGATACAGAGATTAACTGAGTCAACAGTGTCGGGAAGCGGCCTGATCTGGGCCCCCACAGATCCGGCTGCTGCAAACTGTGGGGCAGGCGACGGTTTCTATGGCAGAAGATAGGGATCTTAGAGCCAGCGGACGGGAGGCCGTGGGATGGATGGCGTCACCGTGACCAAAGAAAGTCACAGCTCTTTATGACCCCAGAGGACCCCAAGGCAAACGTCAGTCTCCATCCTTGGTTTCTTGGGAGCCCTGGGTGGATTTCCAGGCCGTGGGGCTGAAGGACCCTAGAGTCTCTTCCCCTTCATTCCACGTTCTAGAGGTTAAAATAGACTCCGCGATGCTGTGTCCCTTTGACCTCCCTTTTGATATAGTTACCTATTAAAATGTGTTCTCGAACTGTGAATGTACTGTTAACATTTGCACTGCGTGAGTATAAAATAGCCGCCTGGCCGTGGCTGCTTTTGCTTTCAAGATTGGCCGGTACATCACCCCCTGCTCCCCGGGGGCCACCTTCACAAAACACTCCGTGGAAGGCGTGTTTTTCCCACGTATCTGCTTTTGACCAAGTGGAGCGCAGCTGATGTGATGGGTCCTGATGTCCCCCGGGGAGTTTGGCACAAATGCTCAAAGTGATGAGCACATGGGGTCTGTAGTACCATACTTGATTTTTATTTTTTTAAATATGCGTTTATTGATTTCAGAGAGAGGAAGGGAGAGGGGGAGTAGGGGGCCTCCTGCTCGCCCCCTACTGGGGATCGAGCCCACAACCCACACATGTGCCCTGACCGGGAATCGAACCTTGATCTCCTGGATCCTAGGTTGATGCTCAACCGCTGAGCCACGCCGGCCGGGCTGCGATATGATACTTTAACTAAAGCCACTCCGGAGCACAACAAAAGGACATTCCAGGAAGATTCACAGCGTGTCAGATCCTCCCTGTATCGGCAAGAGCACTTTCTGATAACACAACAGACAGCTTGCCACTGGGGACTCCCCTGGGGTTCATATTTATCACAGATGTTTTAGCCATTCCATTGGAAAGGAAATTCATTTTTAAGAGAAATCTATATAAGTCTGGGGCCAGTATCAATTTCATCATTATTTCCCTCTCTGGCAAAATAAATGTATATAATTTGCAGAGATCCCCCCCCAAGATTTTAGATATTTTTAAATGAATCATTCCTGGTAAGTTGCTGTATCATATACTAAGATAAACATTCCCAAGAGGCTGTTAATAAGCTTCGTTATGGTGGGAAAGGGGCACACGCAGGACCAGAATCCTCCAGCCGTGCCCAGGGCAGGTAGAACCCCGTGCATCTCATTAGAAAAAAAATCTGCTTTTAATATTTGGGTTTCAAGAAATGATGCATGACTTCTCAAATCCTTCCTGTAATTAATCCCCCCATGTTCCCGTGTTTAGAGAATGATTCATTACCTTTGAACCCTCCTTCCTTTGCCTCGGCTTGTCCTTGGGGAGCCATTAACGCACACTGTGGCGAGCTAGGGTTACCCAGCCGCCGGCCTCACGTCTGTTTTCACAGGTGCAGTACACGGAGCTGAGGCCCTGCAGCAGCCAGAGCCCCCTTCGGAAGAAACGCAGCGCTCTCTAGGACGCGCCGCCCTGGACCCCAGCGCCCCATCCCGGGGTCGGGGGATTAGCCCTTCCGTGGACCCGTGGAGTCACTCCGACGTGCGCGGTGTGGGGTGCCCTCCCTGTGCTCCCCCCCTTCTTTAAGCGCGGATGCACACGCACACAGACACGTGCACACGCGCCCGCGGGAGTGTCCCGGTTGCACAGCGGGGGAGCCCCGCAGAAGGAGCCGATCCGGAGACTGAAAGACTAACAGCCCTTCTCACGTAGGAGACGAAGCAGCGAGGCTGCCACGGGTCTGGGCACCCTCCTTGAGAGCAGCCAGGGGACCACTGGGACTCCAGGGTGACCTTGAACCTGTTTTCGCGCCTCCAGCGGCAGATTCTCATTAAGATTCACTGGTTTCCACTCTCCACCCCCACACTCCTTTCAGATCATTGTCCGTGTGAGTCCGTTTTTTTCCCTCTGAGCTAACAAGTGTCTGATAGACATCATCTACCCAAGTAATGCGTCTTATATAAGCAAATTTTTAAATAATTACCGGATTCGCCCAGATCTTGGGGAACCGTTCAGCTGTGATCCCCGAAGACCTGGATGTAAAATTTCAGTAAAGTCTTTGGTGCTGGGAACCAGCCTGTATCAGGGCCCGTTGCCCACTGCTGGCGATGGATGCCCCAGGAAGGCCCCAAGGGAGCACTCATCCGAGTTCACGAAAGTATTTGGTTGCCTTAAAACACCGTTTCTCCCCATTTTACTCTCTGCTCATTTCCAAAATGCCAGCTTTACAGCTTCAGGAGGGGCAGGGAATGAATGAATGAACTCTGAGAGTATTTAGAAAGATCAAGACTGGGGAGCAGGGGACTAACAAGTGGGGCTGCTTACCCCGTGGTCATAGTCACTTCATTTGCCTGCATTTTTAGGCAGAAAGTAAAAATATCGTAGCGGCCCAGCTTCATCTTCTGTTCCTGTTAGGGGTAAAGTAAGCTGCCCACAATAAAACTAGATCTCAGAGCCCCTTTCCTAGACAAGTACCACTTCCTTCGAGAATGTCTGTCTCCTACAGGCCCCAGCATTTCACAGTAACACACCCGCCCCCCCCAAGTAAAAATTCCAGTTTTGTGCATATCTATGATATGAAATTTTCTTTCTTTTCAGATGACATGTAAGTTGTATAGACTGCATTTTGTTGACACATCCTTTGTATGTGCTGTTATATCTATATATAATATACGTATTGTAAAGAAAAGTTGAGGGGAAAAGATCTGATTTAATAGTGAGTTTTACTCTGTTCCCCTCCCCCCGTTTGTAATTTAATAATCTTCAAACAAAATGTTTATGAAAAATGCCAAAGATTCTAAACCTTATCACGCCGTGTCTGTTTTTCTTCATATTGCATCTTCCTGGGTTGCTTTCGGCTGAGCCAGATTTCTGCATGATTTGATTTACTTCAAGTTAATGAAGCTGGCTGGAAAAGAGTCTTGCAGAAATTATAAAAGCTCCAGTAAATCTCTTAGTTGTACATACAATAGATACCCGAGAACCTCTTTTGTTAAACCAGTTTCTCAGTCTTCTGTATAAACAATGCCTCATTGTCTCACTCCCAACTATCGTTGGGTTTATCACAGTCTATCATTTTGTAAGGACCTAAGTAAGACTTTTTTAAACAGACATGTGAGATCTGATCAGTCATTTGAATGAAAACTTTCAGCAGCAAAACAACCCCTTATTTATTTCAAAGGGGAACCAATACTCTATTGCCATTCTCTTTCTATAGAATTTCAAAATGAAATAATTCTCCTGACAAGAAGGCATCATTAGCTGGCCTATTTCTTCTGTATTCTGATGACATTCCCAGCGTTCACTTTAGGCCCACAAACAGCCACTGGGACGCTGGGGCTGGACCGAGTCTACCTTTAATAAGCTGCGTATGGAAAACAGCTGTTAATCGATTAAGTAGACACTGAACGTTAAAACTGAATGTCAGTTGTAAGTGGAATGTGAAGGTTTATACAAGTCCTGAGAAACTTCTACTGGAGGGTCATTTAACATTGTGTAAGAGCCGGGAGTCATTTTCAACAACGAACCCAAAGGAGACGGTTCCTACACAGTTTTAGTGCATGGGAAATTCAGTTTTATCAATCACCAGTTGTTTTTTTCAATATGTTTTTATTGATTTCAGAGAGAGGAAGGGAGAGAAAGAAATATCAATGATGAGAGTCATGGATCGGCTGCCTCCTGCTGGAGATCGAGCCCGAAACCCAGGCCTGTGCCCTGACTGGGAATCGAACCGTGACCTCCTGGTTCATGGATCGATGCTCAACCTCTGAGCCACGCCGGCCGGGCTCAATCATCAGTTTTTAAAGGTCTTTATTCTCAGGAGTACTGTGTGATCACCTACTAAAGCTTTAAGAAGGCGTCTACGCTGTCTTAACAGGCGAAGAAAAGCACTTAAAACAGGAAGACAGGGCTTCTTAGAAAGGGAAGGAGGGACAGAGTGCACTTGGGGACACAGATGACGTTTAGGGAAAACAGATCGGTCCTTAGGGGAACAGAGATGTGATAGTTTTGTGGCAATATCTCTTTAGGTGCCCATCTTCCCAAGCTGCTCTTGGAGAGGGGATTTAAAACAATTGGGTTCTTTAGGGGTGCTCTGCTTTTATTCCAATAAAGGGGTTCAGGGGAAAACAATTCCTTCATCTGTTGATTCTCAAGTGCTTTCAGCTTCAATATGCTATGTATATAGACACACACATTCATACGTTTCTGTGAAATTACACATACCTCTAAAAATTGGTCCACAGACTCCAATTAAAAGCCCAAGAATCTGTGTTTTCAGGCAAAACATTCCAAGTTGACCTCTTGCTGCATTTGAAACCTCAGGGTAAAGAATGTGTTTTTTTGGAGCCCAGTGTCAGTAGCCTGCGCGGTGCCAGAATTCAGCTCATTTATTATTTAATCCAGCTTTTCTCTGGGACCTATCTTATTAGGCCAGTCTTTATAGCTGAGAAATCCTGAGACTTCAATTTGTTTTCCATTCCTTTAGTTCATTATGATAATACATACAAGCCTCTCTTTTGCATGGATTTTCATTACTGGATCAAAACAAGTGGTTGGGAAAGTAAAACATGAAATCATTTGTTTAACTGCATAGCAAATAGGCATGACTGATTTAGTATGCATTGACCAGATTATGATCTGGTGGCGGTAATTTTGATCTACTTAGTGTAAATGCTTGCCTGGAATTTGTTTTTACTTTTGCCTTTGTTTTTGCTCCCAAAAGGCCTGCATAAGCTGAAGTGGCCCAGCCAAAAAAATTAATAAAAAGGTAACAGGGACAAGCGGAACATTCCTCGCACAGTTAAGGGAGGCAGCAGATTGACTTTTTCCTAATGGAGGCCTGAGTCACCTGCATCTTATGTGAACTGAGTGTTGGGCTGAGCCCAGGTAGAAGCCAGAGGCTGATGAGAATCTGGTATAACAGGTGGGAGACAGAGTCTCTGACTTTGAGAAAGGGTCAGACGGAAATGAACCGGGACAGGGTCTCCGGGTGGGCAGAGCTGAGCTTACTAGGGCAGAGACACAGGCACGGGCTGGCTTAGACTCTGAAAGTTTTGCACGCGGCTGTGTTTATTGTCTCCCTCGGGTGCAGAAACTTGCTCCAGGGATTTTAGAAGTGCCACTGATTTAGAAGTGCGACTGTTGAGGGAAAAGCCTCTTATCGTGTAAGAATAATATTGTCTTTACCATCAATAGATAGATAATTTAATTGAAAAATTACCTGAAATATTTGTGCTGTATAGTCTCTCTTCCAAATCACTAATAAAGATGCTAAAACAGGACAGCACATGACCCTGACTCCTTCCACCCACTGACCAGACACCTGTCTTTAAGCAGATCCAGTAGATTTATCATTGTCTCTACCTTCAAAAATACAAGTGGTTTTCAACCTCACATTTGGTTTTTTCCCCCCAGCATGTTAAAATTGGAGCTCTGTGAGGTCCCACTGAATCTTCTACTACTTATTATATTTAAATAGCAAACAGATCTTGTGATTATGTCTAGAAAACCACCCTCCGACTCACTATTCTCAAGTGTAAGCATCATAATCTATAGTAGTCCATTTGCCTGTAAGACTGCGGGCCCGGAGCAATGATACCAGTAGGTACCGTTTATTGACGGTCATTTATATTCAAGGCACTTTGAAATCATAGTTTCAGTCCATTATGAAGATATTTTATATAATTAAAAGGGTCTGTTTGGGCTTAAGATTTTGATCGGTGCTCCAATTCTTAATTTTACTCGAACCACTTCAAAAGAGTCCTGGCTGGGGGCCGGTGCGGGTGGGGCAGGTATCCTGGGACCTGAGCAGTTTTACAACCTCTGATTTTCTAAGTGATGAGGCTTCCTCCTGACAGTCCTTTTGCGGCTTCCTGTAAGTGGTTGCTTGGTCAAGCCGTCCGTTTCCACTGAGTGTTCATACTGGCAGTTCCTGTGAAATGTTTCCAAATGACTAGTGTCTCACTCATTGTAATAATTCCGCCTTTCCGCCCAGCCTTGGTTTTCAGCCTAGATGTTGATGATTCACCATCCTCGGGGAGTTTGCATGAATGCAGTTCCCATGGGGTCCTAAACCGTCCCATTCAGTTTTAAACTTAGGAGTTTTGAACTTCTCTCCCAACNTCCTCAATGTCCCATTCAGTTTTAAACTTAGGAGTTTTGGACTTCTCTCCTAATATCCTGAGAATTGCAGACCTGCTACCTTCCTTGATCTGTGTTCACCCATGTTCTCTCGTTTATACCCGTCCATTCTCTAATTCGGAGGCAGCAGTGATTTTGCAGGCCCTAAAATAGGCCTGTTTAAAAAGGGGACAAAACTCAGAGGACGGGTCGAGCCCAGATTTGGACATGCCGAGATCACAGCCGGCTCTCCTTCCTCATCTGCCGTTGGTGAGCCTCTGGTCGTCGCTGGCTTGGGGCTGGGTGACTCCCGGACCTGGGGCCGGGCGACTGAGGTTCAGGTCCAAGATCGGGCCCCATGACACTAGTGTCCTGTGTGTCTTCAGCCAACACGTTTACCTTCCTGGTTCCTTTACCTACCTGGTTCCTAGTTCCTGGTTCCTCCGTTCCTTTATTTCTAGAACAGGAGTAATACAATCCCAACCGTGGAGGTTTCGCAAGCATTTTTTTTTTCTCTTCCCATATTACGGCTGTCCTCTCGCTTTTTATGGTGTCCCAGCGGCGTCTTTTAATAAAAAGAAGTTTTCAGTCTAAGGAAGCCTAATTGATTACCTTTCAAGTTGTCTGTGCCCTTTGCATCTCGCTAAAGAAACTGCGGGGACTCTGACGTCACGGAGGTGCTCTCCTGTGTGTGGCCGCCCCGCCCGCAGCCCGCCTTCGGTCTCCTGCCGTCACCCGAGGTCTGCAGGCGCGAACTGAAAATCGCAGCAATGAGCAGCAGGATGAAATCTCGCGGGACGGATCCAGGAAAATCTCGCGGGACGAATCCAGGAAAATCTCGCGGGACGAATCCAGGAAAACCTCGCGGGACGAAGCCAAGAAAACCTCGCGGGATGTGCCACGCTCCGCAGGAGGTCGACGACCGGCATGGGCCCCGCGTTTATGCGTAGAAGCCTCTCCGGCGCTGTGGCTGTGGCCGTGGCGGTGGCCGTGGCGGTGGCCGTGGCGGTATGGCAGGGCT